CAGCCCTGGAGCCGCTGGAGGTGCCCCAGGGAGACTCCCCACGGGAAACACCAACTCAATACAAACCACAGTGGGTAAACAATTACGGGCACGATTGCAGCGGGACTTCCGCTTTCCCGAGGGCTTTAACGGTGAAACGGAGCTGTGTGAAGGCAGAAGGGAGGAGAGGACGCTGAGACGTCTCGGGAAGGCAGGAGCAGGGGGCTGGATTGGGACGTCGCAGCTGGGAGCAGCTATGGGGGACGTCTTCATCCGTCATATCGAGCTACTGGGCTACGAGAAAAGGTTTTTCCCCAGCCAGCACTACGTGAGTACGCAGAAACCTTCCGCGAGCAGTGAGGATAAAAAGCCTGGCCAGCAAATTTCTTTAGATAAATGGGACCCAGCACCTAAGAACATCCTTTTTTTCAGGGGGGTCATAGATGGCATGAGCTTGAGGCAGCCTGTCCTGAACAAGCAAGATTTTGGGGACCTCCTTTGGTTACTTCGCAGGCTTGGAAAGAGCTTTTCCCTCTTTGGTGCCCACCCATCTGGGTGCTTCTGTCCCCTCTCCGTCCCTGCCGAGCTTCCCTTGAGCCCAGCCTGCTCAATGCCAGGGCAGAGCTACTCCCACTGGGGAGGTGGAAGGAAAACACGCAGTTTATCTGAAATGGAAACATCTGCGGGGGTCTCCAGGGGCTTCAGCCGCAGCGGGGTGTGGGGGTCCTGCTCCCCTGCAGAGCTGCAGCACCTCTGCTTCGCCCCCCAGGTCTACATGTTCCTGGTGAAGTGGAACGACCTCTCTGAAAAGCTCGTCTACCGCCGCTTTACCGAGATATACGAGTTCCACGTGAGTTGTCCCGAGGCGGGCACCGGCCCCTGGCCCAGTGCACCAGGGCTTGGGGTGGGGATAAAGAAGAGGGTGAATTCCAGCTGAAATTGCCCCAAAACAAACCTGGCTCAAAAGAGGCTCCTGTGTCCCTGTGCTTCAATCTCCTTCGCCCCTCGAAGCTGGAGCCGCTGGCTCTGTGCTCCCCTGGCAGGTTTCTCCTGGTGTCGAGGTGCAGGTTCCAGGCAGCACCAGTCACCACGTGCCAGCAGGCAGCGGGGCGAGCACCAGGAAGGGGGGCAAGGAGGGGTGGGGGAAAAAACCCCCGCCCCCATCCTCACAGCCGTGTCTCACTCTGCTCCACAGAAAGCGCTGAAGGAGATGTTCCCCATTGAATCCGGGGACATCAACATGGAGAACCGGATCATCCCGCACTTGCCAGGTGAGGGGCAGGTGCCGGGGCTGGAGGCTGACTGGTTGGGAAATTCCCCGGCGGGCCAAGCTCTGCTGGCTGCCTCCCACACAGGCGCTGGGTGCGATTTCTGTTCCCACCCACTGCGCTTGAAATCAAAACCCCGGAGAGGGCTGGCTGGTTTCTCCCAACACTCGCCAGCCCTGCAGACCCCATCCTTCCTCCCCGAGGATGCTGCCCACAGCACTGGCTGGCCCCCCCCCCCGGGG